GACATGAGGGGGTCCTGTCCCGACAAGCTAGCTTGGCGTGCTAGCCGTCGGCGGAGGCTCTTAATGGTGAAGCGGGCACAATGCCCGCACGAGCCGGGGTTATCGATAGCCTCCTGGGCGTGTTCCAGCCCGAGGCAGGACGAGCATACCTGGTGTGAGTCTGTGCCTGAGATCTTAAACCCGGAGCCGCATAGCCGAGCCTCCGAGTCCCTGACTCCTCTGGTGTGAGGGAGAGAAGGGTCCATCTTTGTTCGCCGGGGTGTCGGCGTGGAGTGGACACGCTAGTAACAGGTACGTTACCGAGAAAAAAATCCAACCTTGTCGTTAATCCGAAAGGAAAAAGCGACAGCGTAGATTTTATTCTTAAAAGAATATTAACTGGTGTGTTAATACCTTTTGGTTTTTATCTCCGTCTCCTCTGGTGTGAGAGAGAAAAGAGAACGTCCTCGCTACCGTGGTGTCGGTGTGGAGGAGAAGAAAAGCTAGCAACAGGTATGTTACTAGCTTGAAGAAAAAAATCAAACCTTACCGTAATTTCGAAAGAAAGAAACGGCGAGGCAGATTACAATATTAACTGGTGTGTTAATATTGTTCAGTCTTCTTGCAAAGCAAAAAAGTAACTGGCAAGCGCCCGTCGACCAAATGTTAGCTTTGGGTTCAGTCTGTGGACCGTTAAGCTAGCCCGGCTACTGATAATTTGAGATGTGCTCTGAAGCGAGAAGAGGTGTTTGAATGACGCTGCGTCGTAGCGCAAGCTACTTATAGGGTGGGTGGATTCCCTGACGTAGACGTCAAGATCACCAGCCAATCAGGATTGGTGTAATGAGATTGATGCTTCTGTTTGCATACGCGTTGAGGCGCATCCCATAGTGAGACATCGAACGGAGTGTTATGAATGAGAACTATCCACACTGAAAAAACTGAAACGTTGACTTTAATAAATGTATCATGTCAACACATTTCAGATAACGGTATTTCACTCAGGAGAGACGTGATGTATGGAATACATGTTTATTATCGGGTCACATTATATAAATGAACATAATGATGACAGTTTGTAGCAAGTGAATGAAATGGTGTTTTGGCGATGAGGCCCAGGTTTGGTAGGATGTCATTCGGGAAGGAAAGAACCGTTTCCGATGAACCCCCCCGGGTCTAGACACTGGTGGTGGTGATAAGTGGTTTAGGTCCGGTTGGAAGGGAGAAGGTTGAGCTTGGCCCTGAGTTGGAAGCAGGAGGCGAAGGGGTGGAGGAGGGTTGCGCGTTGACACCTGGAAGACAGCTGATGGAAAAGGGGAGAGCATATATAGAGGGATTACCAGGTGCGATGATTAGGCTTGTGAATGGAGGGACGTGATAGGTTTGCTGAGGAGTGGCGCTCCCTATCATTTAGTGAAGGGAGCGAGTATTGCCATGACGTGCAATACGAAGTGATAGGTCTTCCTGTCTGAACTTGCGCTGAGCTTCATTAGGTTAGTTAAAAGCAATAATATTAAGTTGAACATAGCTAACCTAATACAGTTTTGTGAAATCTGTTGACATAATACGTTTAATTAAAGACAGCGTTTCAGTTTTTCAGTGCAGTAAAACGCATGTTGTCACTGAAAAAACAAACAGTTAATACAGTTAAAGTATGTGTGACATAACAGATACTCAAAGTATATCAACATTACACTACAGAACAGCACCTATGCACTGAGTTACTTTCCACTACTGGTGTTTTAAGTGAAGCTCAGGTGCCTCACCGGAATTCAGACCTAAACAGCATCTGCTTCGGGGAGTGACGGTAGCCGGTCGTTTCTTTCTGCTGGCTCTGTTTTACTGGTGTGAATAAAAACAAAGGCGCAGAGCAGTCAGCTGCATTCTGCCACATATTGTCATGTTGCCAGAGGAGCGGTAAGACTGATTTCACAGGTGTTTCCGAAGGAATGAAAGCACAAAATAAAAGCACAGAGAGAGGCTATGCCTGGAACAATAGCCAATGCTGTCGGGATTTGTTGACTCGTGCATGTTTGGCTTACCTTGCTGACAGTGGATTGTGAAATAAAAAGACCCACTTAGACAGGAAAGAGGTTTGATAGCATGTGTGTCAGTGGCAGTGTGCAAACTGGGCATTTGTAGCAGCATGTCAGTGTGGTAATTGGTTTGGTTGCTTATCTTCCGTCCTGCTGGTTAGATTATCTTCAGTATAAAGACCAAGATATGGCTCAGCTTTGGGTCACCCAGCTCCTCTGAGGATTAGAGTCCTGAGCATACTGTGAATGTAGAGTGCTCTTTTCTCTGTTCCGATATCCTTCATAAGGACAAAGGCCCATAAATCTCACTAAACTGCATCATGTATCAGTTGGCCAGTAAGTGTGAATGAGAAGCTGGTATTTCTTGGTTGAATTATATATCAGATACACACTGTACTATTTTCAATCATTGAAGATGCTTCTTTTTTTTTCATCACGTCACATTCGAAAGTTAGCACAAATAAAGCAGTTCTAGCAAAACTGGAGAGTATTGAAAGCTTTCTCAATGGTAAAAGAACATGTTTCGCTCTTCTCTGGGCTGACCTCCAAACAAATTTGATTGACAAATGGTTTAGCCAATAATCTGCCACATTTTTTTCAAGAGCCTGCTTTTTCATATTTTGTGAAACAAGATGGCTTGTTTCACAAAACATCTGCTGCATCAGGTTTTGGTTTTCAACCGTTCCCCTACATTAAATGTTTCTTTTTACTTTAAAATGTAAATTTGTCTTGGTAGCTAAATAATCTAAGTTATGAATGGGAATCCTTCGACAGTCCACTGAGGTTTTGTGATTTATTTATTTGTTGCATTATCTGTGTTTTTGTCTGTTGTTTTTAGCTTTAATTTTCCAGGAAAGTAAAGTGAACACACTCTTAAACACAGTTTTCTTTCAAGCAATAACCTGCTTCGTATTTAAACAGTGTCCACACATTCTAAAAGGGTTTGGAATGGATATACGATACATAGATATTTGACTGCCTGGTGTTAGTATGTTAATGATTCTGAAGAAAAGTACAGTATGGGAGAGCGGGGTCAAAAATAGAAATAGAGGTAACGATTCAAGACACAGGAAGAGGAAATACACAGTTGAGAGGGAATCTGGCAAAGGAAAAGGGACGGAAAGGGGACAACAAATATTCCTTTAAAGACAACACAGTGGGACAGTGTCACGACCGATTTATATCCCGTCTCCCTGAGGTCAGGATTACCGCACACTGCAACACGCATCGAGGCACAGATTGCAACACAAAGCTGCCTCTCATTTTCTGAATGGGTTGCAGGTTAATGTATTACACTTTATTGACACACCAACTAGAGAAAAAATAGGTTTCTGAGGTTTTGTGACATTTCTTTATTTTCAAACTAAAAAAGAGTCCCAACTAAAATCACAATAAACCATCTTTGAAGTGTTTTTCAACAGTTTTTAGAAACATATAAGGTCCTGATATCAAATACTATTTTCTTAAATAAAACCTGCATTTCAGCATAATTGTTTAAACAGACCCAAAAGGCAGCAAAGGACATTCATACCTGGTAGGAAAGAGAACTAAAGATAGACCTGATACAAAATGTGAATGACCCAATTGGGTAGATAAATTGGTTAGTGTGCGAAAAAAGAGGAGAGCTAAGCCATGGAGGAAAAGTGTTGTGATATGTCCTTGTTAGTCACTTTATTTCTGGAGAATTGTGGTAAATGAATGTCCTCCCCTGGAAGTAAAAACAGGCTGTCAAAAGTTCTAAGTATTAGTTCATAGTGATGCTAGTAGAGCACTATTAAACGTAAGCTTCATGGAATTCCAATTTTGGTTTTGACAGTGTAATGTTCAAGAAAGATTGAACAACGATTTAACTGCACGATGGATTCTGGTGGAAAAGCGCAACAAGAGATTAAAAGATGCGAGTTGGAAGGGAGATGCTGACAAGCGAAGAAATGCAGAAGAGTAAGAAGGAGAGATACGTGAAGAAGTAGGCTAAAGGAGAGAGAGGGGGAGGATGGATGAATGGTTGCGGAGAGAAAAAAGAGATTAAAATGTGTGAAGGAGGAAAAGCAGAGGTGGGCAGGCGGAGGAGGATAAAGTGGAGAGCGGCATATGACGTCCTGGATTATCTCCAAAGACTCCCAGCGCGATCCAGCTGCTACTGAAGGCCACTCTGGAAAAGCCTGTTAGCATTGGCAACAATAAAGGGAGGAAAGTAGTGAGCCTAGAAATGGGTGGGGAGAAATATGGAGATGAAGGAGATAATATTTCAAAAATATGTAAAGCGAAAGCAATCTGAAAAAAGAAAGGATAAACTAGAATACAGTTGAAAGGTTGATCCTGACAAAATGCAACTGAGGGGGAAAATAAACAAAGACATTACCTCCGAATTCTCAATGCTGCTCCTGTGACAAACAGAACATACTACATCATTTAAATCAATCAACACAAAGGGTCAGCTGGGAAAAGCTCAATTTTCAAGCATAATAATTTGTGCAGACCTCATTAAATAAGAAGTTCCCCTGATGCGTTTCGTGTAAAATATTTACACGTAATAATTGTCAGAATCCCCAGTGTCTCGATAGAGTTGTATAAAGCCCCATTTTCACAGTGTACAGTTTCAAATCAGGCAACTTTACATTTGCATTTAAGTTTGCACATTGAATAGAACTGTACAGAAGTCTCTAGAGAAAAAAAGGTGCCCATTAGAAAATCAAAATCAAAACGGCTTTTACTTTGGATAAGCATATCAGGGGTGTCTTATCTAGATCAAAATATGGCAAGACATCTGTGCCGGAGTTTTGACTTCACAGCTTGCACATTCTCAAGGGATTTCAATCTAGAAAGATCTCCCCAGGTAATAATGATTCCTGTGGGACTTCAGGCACAGGTTGGGGACGTTCCAGTTTGGGCCTCCGTTATTTGCTTGGATTAAAGATACTTTTTTTGTATATATTGTTTTCCTACCTCTCAAATGTGGGTCTGTTTAGTTAATGTCAGTGACAATGTTTGTGACCCTGAAAAGGTTGTAACATTTACTCATATCCAAAATACATTGAATACTTAATAATACATTATTAAGATAAAGTCAACCAGCCGAGCTCACTGATGCACAAGATACCATTTTGTGTGTATGTAACACACCAGGCTTTCAGCTATAAATCCATCTCGAGATATTTTAAGATTTCAAGCTACTTACATTTCCCCATTTTTCAAATGATTTTACTCATGTTTCATTTAAGCAATCACTCCAGTACAGGCGTACCGCAGTACTGTCGTACCAATAATGACGTTCAAGAACGGCCTTAAGTGTATGATTGGGATTCTGTGACACAAACTATCATTGTAATCAACAATATCGTAAAATAATTTCATAATGTGGGCTAATTTGCTCCCAAACCTACGCTTTCTGCTTGAGTTAATCTCCGTCAGAAAGTAGTTCCTAGAAAGTAGTTCCCATGGTGACTTTTTTCCAACGCATTCAACTCGTCAGTTGAAACAGCCGCAAATCTTTCGTTGGTTTTGTGGTCTGTGTCCATGTCCAACCATTCATCAATACTGAGGCCCCCCAACAAATCAAAATGAACTTTAAAATCTGACATTTTGTAGCTACCGATTTCCAACGAGAGACAATGTATAACAGTGTAACGGCTGTGTGTCGCTAAACGTCGCTATGGAAACCACACGATGTAGGCTCATGGAAGTAGTTTCGGTAGGCTAGTGGCGTGTGTAGGCCACTGGATACTTTGTGATTAGGCACGTTCTATTGGATCGTTGTTTGATCGTGGAATCAAACACGCCTATTGACCAATCAGAGAGCTTGCTCAAACCTATGTGTTATAGAATACATATTCAAGGTATTTTTTACAGTTCCTAAAATATCAGACACCAGGTGCTCATGGACACTGACCCTCTCTAAATCCACAGTCTGTTCAGAGAATGCCAGTGTCAATGTCCCACGGTGCTGAGAAGGTTAAAGTAATTTGGAAACTTTAACGATGCCTTTTTGCATATAAGAAATACCTATAACTCTATGAATAAGAAGTTCTTGCTCTACCATGCTGGTAGAGCAAGAACTGCTCATCTCTAGTCTGACTACAGAATCAACAAAGTAGTAAAAGAGAAGCCTGTTGGCGTTTTAAACATTCTCTGTCACTTCCCACGGAATAATGGTAGCAGGAAACATCCTCCCATGAGGCTCTATGATAATAGGCCCATATGTACCGGCCACAGTGATGGTAATTAATTGCTACTGAAAACTTGTGAGGTCGCTCTGCGGCGTACAGTGACCTCCAGACACGGGTAAAATGACACAGCGGGGTTTTTACAGAGTGGAGAGCCGCGTCGAGGGACGACTGTGAGAGGGGGGCAGATTAGTTAGCAATTTGACCTTCCCCATAAGGCACCAGCTCATCGCCTACTTCCTTTTGTCACTAGATTAGAGAGTTTAAATGGGAGGCCTGCGGTGTACTAACTGAACAGCACTGTAGGCTCTATCACCATATTTTTTGTGGTCCTGTTGCTATGTGGAAAACGTGAGGCAAAGGACAGAAAGAAACTGAGAGATACAAATGAGCAGTCATGACTGTACAGTACGTGTGCTTAATTTATTTCCAAAGTTATGATACACCCATGTGGATATATTGTATATTTGATACAAATGTTGTGGTTTGGAGCTTTGTAGTTTTAGGTGTGCATCAGTTTATTTCATCAGGGTTTTTCATCTCATGAAAAACAAAATCTCTACTACAGGCCATCAACATTACTTCACACATAATGCTGAACAGGACATTTTAATCCTTCCTTTTCTGTGAGATCTTTTCTTGAAAAAAACAAGAAGTGCTGCTGCCACTTAATTGGCAATCCAGTGCACTAAAATATGTCAGATTGTCTTAGTGTTTTATGGATTTCTATTAATTGTGAATGCATATGCTGAAAAACGTCAGATAATGGCGGCATATCTAGTTACTTATTGATAGAGTAATGCAAGAAAACATCAAAACCTTCTTTTGGGAAACGTCTACTGATGATTTGTTTGAATCTATAGCCATCCAGCGTAAAGACATGATTTAATATGTACAGTTTTGCATTGTGTTTTTTCTTGGCAATAGTGAGTGGATTTGATTGTTTTCCTTTCTTTTGTTTTCAGTGCTTGACGAAGACTCAAGGCTGTTGCATTGTCTACGTGACAGAATGCCAGATTTCTCAGCTGATGTAAAGGATACGTTGCTCAGTCTGTGCTCAGGCCAATAGAAGAAAAATAATCCACATTGAGAATTTGGCTGCTGCTCAGCTTTGATACACTTTAAAATGTGACTATGCACTTTCAACCGATCCAAACATTCTTGCTAAACTAAATCATGTTTTAAAAATGTGATTATGAGATAGCAGTAAACAATCTTTAAACTGTCCATTTATAGTCCACTAGCAATCTTAGTAGGCAATTCATGCTCGCTTGCGTTAGAATGTTTGCTCCATCTATCTATCTTTGTTTCAAGCTAGGATGTTACCAGTGTTCACATAAGGAACTAAATGCCAACCAAATTAGTGTCAAAGAGGACTTATTTAAGTCTGAAAAAAGCTTTGTTCCAATCCAGTTGAATCAATAAGATAAAAGAAAAAAAGGGTTATTAGCAAATGTAGTTACCTTTTAGTTTATCAACAGTTTTCTGTCAATGCATTTCTAGGCAAAGCCACATGATATTTTCAACCTTCTGTGACTTTTTTATTGCCAAATATCCAGTTAATTAGTCAAAGGAACATTCATATTAGGTAAGATATTTCCATCAGCAGTTGATTTATTACCCCGGCGGTTCCTGGTGTATTCATCAATTTGCCCAATGCTTTTACTCATACACACAGGACTGTGCTCCCCTATCAGTAATAACAACATCCTCCAGACTTGCCTTCGGCAGCTGCAGACTGAGGGAAGAAAGAAGCAGTACTTGAATAATTGAACAAATCAAGATCCCAGGCTATATATTTATATGGTATTGGTAATGAGGCCGCTAGAGATAGTACCTCAAGTTGCAGAGAGGAATAACATCTTTATAAGCTCTGCAGCTTTTCTATACTGCACTGAACCTGTGCTCAGGTGATGACTTCACTGACTGGACTATGCTCTCTTCCTTTCAACCCCCTGGACCTGCTGACTGATCACTAATGTTATTGTTTGTAATATCTCCAGATTCTCAAGAGAAGCGCCTCCTAGAGTTCATCTTACTGTGTGTTGGTCTGTGGGTATCTTTTTCAGTGGTGTAATACATACAGTATAGCAGCCAACGGTGGTTTATTAGATTATATGTGTGTGTTAGCAGTTGTTTAATCCTTTCTATCTATTGCAATTTGACATATTGAGCCCCTTCAGTCCCATGTGACTCTGCAAAGGCACCAAATAAACCCGGAGAACACAGTTGATTTAGAATTGGCGACCAATTTGGGGCATCTTTCAGGCTTTTTTTATATAGTTATATCCCTATAAGGATTACAAAATCCAATTGAAATGACCAAACCTGTCCACCTGCTTCAGCACACACACTTTGTCAATCATGTGAACCTCCCATTTCTAAAGTGTGTCCTCAAACATTTAGTTTTTCTCACTCCATCCATTATGTTATAATGTGAGAGTTGAAGGAGTCTTACAGAGATCAAGGTCTCTTTTTTTCAATTATTTCCTGTCTTTTCTGTCTCCAACATTATTTCCATCTTCTGTCATTCCTTGTGTGATGTATTAAAGCTCTTCCTGTTGCTGTGATCTCAAACTCATATGCAGAGTAAAACAACTGCTGCGAGCCTTCAAGTTTAGCCTTTACCTCATTCTCCTCTACAGGAAACACAGCCACCAAGTTTGGGACAAAATGACTGATTATAGGTATACATTCACAACACATTCTCTCTCTGACACACACTCCTCTAGCTACAGTTGAGTAGTTGGACGTGACATGACTTCTCTCTGGGGTTCATTGCTTCGCCTGGCTGACCATAAAAGACCTGTTTCATTTTCGCTGCAAATTTCATCCCTGATCATTTTCTGCTGACGGGCAGGGGCTCACTTATCAGATCCCAGCTCTCCCTAACCCAGCCCTCATCCATCAATCCCTGTTACATTATTTAAACTGTGGTTTTAATGTAAAATAACAGCCAGCGTCTTGGCTCTGCTAAGGGAGAACTGAGTGTAATCTCTGTTGAGTATTAGTTCTCCTAACTAGTTTTAAAACCAAAATATATCCTGAAGATTTAATTCCTCCCACACATGTTTAGAACATTAATGGCACAGATTGATGTTGGGTGACATCAGTTGATACCCACTACTACTATTCTTATCTGTCAATCATTGTTCTTGGCAAAAGTCAAAAACATGTTTAGTGCGATTTCCAATTAGATCCATACGTCTTAATGTGACCCTGTTAAAATGCACATGGTTAAGTTCTGGGTCCACTGCTTTTCATGTTTAGTTTACTATGCTGACACTATAGGTTAAAAAGCATGAGCTATTGCTCTGCGGATGACAAACAACTCTTTATAGCTTTTTATACTGGTGATATCACAAATATGAAAAATGCATTTCTAACATCAATGTATGGATGGTCCTAGTGTATCCGTCCAGCTCAACAAGTTGGTGTTGTAGTACATTAACCAATATCTTGCTCCCCTGGACCTGGATCTTGTTTAGAAATGATAATCAGCTTTGATCTAACTTTCCATCCCAATAAAACAGCAGCCCTTTATATAAAGAACAGATCAGGCCGATTCCTTTTTCAAACTTTTAAGATTTCCATTTTCTATTATATTAACATTTCACTTTCAATATGAGAGAA